CCCCCATACGGCGGCCCGCCCCCGCAGCACGGCTACGGCGGCCCCCCGCCGCCGCGCGACCCCTACGGGGCGCCGCCGCTCGGCGGCGACTACGGCCGTGGCCCGCCGCCGCCCAACGGTATCCCTATGGGCGGCCCGCGGCCCATGGCGGCCCCCTCCATGGCCGTGCCCCCGATGGGCGCCCCGCCGCCGTACGACGGGCCCCCCACAGCGCCCGGCGGCCCGCCCGGCGGCGCTCCCGGCGGCGGCGGCGGCGGCGGCGTGGGCATGCTGGCGGTGCTGCCGCCGGCGGCGCGGGTCGTGTTTGCGGACAACCCGTCGGTCGACACGCGCGGGCTGGAAGGCATGGCGACTGTGGAGTACCGAGTGCTGGTGCCCACAAGGAAGGGCGGCGTCATCATCGGGGAGCGCGGCTCGGTGGGTCACCTGGCTGGGGTCTGGGGTCGGTGCGGTGGTGGCGCGCTGCGCGGCCAGCTGCGCGCGGCCACGCGCGTGTGTGCTTGTGTCAATTCGTGTGGGTGTGTGTACACGTATGCTCTTGTGAATCTCATGACCGATAGTTGACGGATGTGTCAGGAGGAGGCTGTGTATACACCGCATGGGGGCTTGGAGGTAGCGTGCGGTGCAGCAGCAGCAGCGGCGGCGGCGGCGGCGGCTGCAGCAGCAGCATTGCAGGCCCACTGCAGGGTGCAGCCGGCACCATCCCAGCCGTGCCACGAAACGCTCTCGTACCCCCACCCCCCCAAAAAATAAACGTCCAGGTGATTCGCCACATCCGCGACCGGTTTGGCGCCAAGCTCAACCTGCCGGAGGCGCTCTCTGGCGCCCAGGAGCGCGTGCTGCAGGTGCGCGGCGCTCCGCAGGGGCCGCAGAGGGGCCGCGGGAAAGGGGCCGCTGCGATGCACGAGGGCCGCCTGCTATGTCATAATCGAGCACGTGCGGTTGTCCAGCTGCATGCAGCCAGCCACGGCTTGCCCCAAACATACCCAGCACACCCACCTGTGCACACAATCGCGCGTTTGCCCGTGCACGCGCGCACACACATCCCTGCACACACCCCCACACACACTGTCCTTCTCTTTCCTTCTGTCTCCTTTTCTCCTCTTTCTCGCCCGCATGTTTTCCTGTGTTTCTCTCCCTCGCTCCCGTCACCCATCGCATCCCCCCCCCAAACCCCCACCAGATCATGTCAACAGAGGACGTCCGCGACCCGCGCTGCGACGCGCTGGAGGCGGCCATGTACTGCGCGGACCTGCTCCTCCACGACAGGGGCCACGAGAGGTGGGCCCCCCCTGCCCGCCGCAGCCGGGCGCGGCTGGGCATGGCTGGCTGGGCGCGGAGCGGGGCCGCCGCGGCTGCGGGCCCTCAGGGATGAGGACGGCTGGTCGCGGGTCGGGGGCGCCTGGGGGGTGCCCTGCTCAGGGAGCAGGCGGGTCTGGTGTGTTGCCCCGGCTGGCGCGAGGCCGTCAGCCTGGTCGGCGGGGTCACGCCCAGTACGGGCCTGCACGACTTGCTCACGACGCTGGCGCAAGCAAGCAAGCAAGCAAGCAAGCGCTTGTCCGAACCGGGCGCCGGCGCTGAGGCGCGTCCTCCCACTTGCTGGCTTTGCAGGGAGGAGGACCGGCGGGAGCGCGAGGCGCTGCGCGGGCGCGGCCGCATCCGCATGCTGTTGACTAAAGGCCAGGTCGGGGCGGTCATGGGGCGCAAGGGCAGCAC